GCACCTGTGGTCCCAGCTACTTGGGAGGCTGAGGCAGGAGACTCGCTTGAGCCCAGGAGTTGGAGGTTGCTGTGAGCTGTGATGCCACGGCACTCTACCTAGGGGCACAGCTTGAGGCTCTGTCTCCAAAAAGAAAAGAAATTTAGATAGTTTTCTAAAAGGATCTTGATCTTAAAATGTGGAAATATTCTATCTTTATGTCTAAAATGTTGCCCGACCTTACACTTCAGTATCAGTTCCTCAAGGGTAAAGACTTTTCTTTTATGAACATATGCTTCATGCCTGGAACAGAGTATGAACAGGTAAGCCAGGCACTGTTGTTCATCAGGCCTCATAATGTTATCTAGAGATAATTTGATCATGCAATATAAAATGGACACCTATAATGAATGGGTCACTATTGGTATTGTTCTTTCCAGGCACCAGTACGTAACCCAGATCAGTTTAAAGCTCTAGGATTGGTGACTCCGGCTGGAATCCTACTTGCTGGTCCTCCTGGCTGTGGGAAAACTTTGCTGGCCAAGGTGAGGTTCAACTGCATGTAATTTATGTTTTACTATTGAGTTTAACTTTAAATGTCACAGGAAGATAAATATTATGCATAATTTCTATTGATGTTCATTTGAACAAAACTAAACTTTCTCCAGGAAAGTTTTTCACTTTTTTAATACAAAAGCTACATGATTGGGCTCAGCGCCTGTAGCTCAGCCCCTAGGGCACCAGCCACATACACCAGAGCCGGCAGATTCAAACCCAGCCCAGGCCTGCCAAACAACAATGACAACTACAGTGAAAAAATAACCGGGCATCGTGGTGGGCACCTGAAGTCCCAGCTACTCGGGAGGCTGAAGTAAAGGAATTGCTTAAGCCCAGGACTTGGAGGTTACAGTGAGCTGTGATGCCACAGCACTCTACCAAGGGTGATAAAGTGGACTCTGTCTCAAAAAAAAAAAAAAAAAGGCTACATAATTGAAAAATGTTTAAATCAACCAAACCCCTGATTTTTTTTTTTGTTTTCCAGACAGAGTCTCACTATGTTGCCCTCAGTAGAGTGCCATGGTATCACAGCTCACAGCAACCTAAAATTCTTGGGCTCAAGGGATTCTCTTGCCTTAGCTTCTCCAGTAGTTGAGACAACAAGTGCTCACCACAATACCCAGCTGTTTCTTTTCTTTTCTTTTTTTTTTTTTTGAGACAGAGCCTCAAGCTATTGCCCTGGGTAGAGTACCATGGCATCACGCTCACAGCAACCTCCAACTCCTGGGCTCAAGAGAGTCTCCTGCCTCAGCCTGCCATGTAGCTGGGACCACAGGCGCCCGCCACAATGCCCGGCTATTTTTTGGTTGCAGCCATCATTGTTGTTTGGCAGGCCCAGGCTGGATTTGAACCTGCCAC